TTTCCAAATGATTTTGAGTTTTGTTCCTTATTGTTCTCCCTCTCTATCCAGGATCTCCTACATAGAGCCTCCTCCGACTTGTTGACAGTGGTAGTTGGCACCATCTTGTTCTTCTGGTCTCATTGTCATATAGGCTGCGGATCACATGGTGTACCAGTTGCTAGGACTAATTGTTTCCATGAATCTTTGGTTTTCTTCATTTTTCTTTGCTCTGGATGAGGAGAGGCCCATCGTTGAAGGGTCAAATAAGTGTGTTGGGTTAAACAAAGTTAAGCAGCTTGTACTATGGTATATGGTATTTTCCAAGCCACCTGACCATTTATGTTGTACAGACTACATTTTGGGAAATGTTTGTTTACACTAAAGCTATCCATAATCTGGCTAAAGGTGCAGAATTAACTTGCCTCAATGTGTTGAGTCCAGCTATGTTTTCAGATCCATGGGCTAAGATGCTCCCACAGCAGCCCCCTGCCCTCCTCACCCCCAACAAAACGAAACAAAAACACTTCAACCAAAGGATCATTTACCCCTCCTTCCTTCTGGCAGAACAGTACTGAGGGCTTGGATTTTTTTTTTTTTTGTTTCTTGTTTTGGTGCAGTGAGTCTGTTTAATTATTTAATGAATAAATATTACCCTCCCTCTAGGTTGCTTGTAGCCTGCTGATCGCACTGTTTATGAAACAGCTGTGAGGACAGGTGGGTCCTCATCTCTGGGCAGTTAAAACCCAGCAGAAGCCTGAGGGTCATGTGTCAACCTGTAATCCTGACAGGAATTATGATGTGGGCTCAAGAAGGCACAACCTCACGATTGGATGTGGAGAGGTGACTCAGGCCCAAGGCAGGGCTAGAGCTGGCCTCCCAGTAAACAACTGACCTGTCCTTCCTGGGCTCTTTCCCCAGGATTTCAACAGACCACAGAAATAGCTATTTTGCTCATGGTTCTTTCCCAGACCCACGTTGTTTGTCTTTGTCACTGGGAGGCTGTGTGTCTGTTCTGAGCCTTCCCACACAGGACTGTCCTTTTCCTGAAACAGAGCTTTGTGCCCCGTGGTGCAGTTTTAATCCATCCTGCTTGATTTTAGAGAACTGCTTCTGTGGGTCTCTTGAGCCAGGCTCCACTTTCCTCAGGGAGAGGAGAGCTGCTGGTGGCAGGGTGGCAGAGCCCAGCCAGGACTCAGGAGGCTTCTCAGCGCTGGAGGCCCACGTGGGAGCTGTGAACGGCAGTGAGAAGGGGTGGGAGTGAGGGTGGAGGTGGGCTCAGGAGGGTCAGGTAGGGGGAAGGCTCTGGGAGAGTTTGTCAGCC